CCCCACCTGTGGGCACGCCCTTAGGTGCTCTCCCAGATAATCAGCCCCAGTAAACACAGATAAGTGTTCTTGCGATAGTGAATAATCCTGCTATGAACATTGGTGTACAAGTCTCTATGCCTTGGTTCTCATTTTTTCAGGGTATATTCCAAGCAGTGGAATAGCTGGGTCATATAGAATTTCTATGTTCAGCTTTTTTTGAGGAAATGATAAGCTTCCTTCCAGAGTCATTGTAACATTTTACAATCTCACCAAGCATGTATAAGAGTTCCTATCTCGCCACATATTTATTATTAGATGCCCTGCTAAACTTTGCCACTAGTACTAGGATAAGAGGGTATTTCCTTGTGATTTGATCTACATTACTCTTATTAACAGTGATTTGGAACATTAGGATGGCCAACAGACACATGAACAAATGCTCCAAATCAAACCTATTCTCAAGATGACCTTGAAATTCATATGTAATTGATTCAAAATCATATCTTTGTTCCTATGGACTTATTTTAATTTCCCTTGGCCTCAATTTGAACTTGTATATGAGTAATTGATGATCTGACCCACAGTCCAACCCTAACCTAGTTTTGACTGCCGATATTGAGCTTCTCCAATGATTTCTTCCACAAATTTAGTCAATCTGATTCTTATGCAGCTCATCAAGAGATCCATATGTAAAGCTGTCATTAGTATCTTTAATAAAGGTATTTGCAGCAACAACAAATGAATGGAAATCCAAATTCTCTGCAAATTTTCATTAACATTAATTTTTAAAAGGTATTTGCAATGAATAAATCATTGTAAATACAAAAATTAAATCATTCTGCTTTCAGTTTCATTTCTATCACCAAGCCCATATATTGCAGCTTGAACTGCAATTCCAGCAAGCAATTCAACTACAATCCCAAAATCATGTGGTTCAAGGTCACCAGCTCCTCCACCAGAAGATGGGCAATATCTCCTCCAGTGTGACTAACTGCCTCTGAAAACCAACTGAAGGGTCAGCTATGGCTAAATTCTGAATCTATGGTGGTGGTTGTTGTTAAGTGCCGTCAAGTCGCAGGCGACTCATAGCGACCCTAGGAACAAAAGTCCTGGACACCTCTTGTATAACTTTCATCCTTTCTCCAGGTTCATAGAGTTTCCTGAGGCAAGCTATTGTGAAAGTGGATGCCACTCCTGCTTCCAAGCTTGTTTTAATCTGATAGTTTCACCAAACACTGTCCACCATGGGTAACCATTCTCACATTTGACTCCTCAGTGTCACAGTGTTTGGCTTCACAACAACCATGACTTACCCCTGTAAAGGCAGGCCTGAGGGCTGCGGAGTAGAGTCACCCATCTTTGGCTTGGGCGCATGGCTTTCTGTCCACTAGGCCAACAGAACACTCTCTTGCTCTCTCTCACTTTTGTTCATAGGGTCGCTATGTTGACGGCACTTAACCACAACACCACCACCAACAGCAGAGAGAGAGAGAGAGGTTGTATTAATAGCACTACTCCCTATTGACTACTTAAGTGGATCTCTCCTATCTACTTGTAATTATCATAAAATCATAGAAAAATAATTTTCTACATTTAAATGGTTCTTAAGAATATTCTTAACAAGAGAGAGACTATAGAGGAAAAAATTCACAATTAACGCTCAGATTCCTCTTTAGTGAAAAAGAAACCTCTATAAAGAAAAGAAGGAAATTAGCATCCAAGAAATTAGCTATTTAGTAATAAATCTAAAAAAAGATACAAATTACACCCTTGAGCACACAGCAGCAGTCATTTTTATCAATCCATTTTGCCGAGGGTTTTCTTCTCTTTCACCGACCCAAGAATATAAGATGAAATTCATTTTACCTCCAATGAGGGTTCTGTTTTCACTTTCTCCAAGACATATCTGTTTGTTCTTTGGGCAGTCCATGGCATATTCATTACTCTTTAACATCACAGCTCAGGCAATGTTTTCTGTTATGCAAGGGGTTGGATCCAAGTGGATGGTAGTTAAAATAGCAGTAACATGAGGTCAAGATTGATTCTTATTTTGTGGAAATCCAGTTTTCTCAGAACCATTTATTTTAATGTTTACTCATTTCCCTCTCATTCCAACTTTAATTTATAATCTCTTCCCAGGGAGGTTCTCCCTAATTCCCTCTTCACATCACCAAACCTCCACTAACCACTCTGCAAACTATTCCTTGTTTAGTTACCGTGCCCTCACCTAGAATATGAAATACACAACAATATCATCTATTGTCTTCCATGATTCTCCACTCTGTTATCAAGACCTCAAACAGTGCTTGTTCACTGTGAGTTGCTACTAAGCACATGCTAAGCAGGGCAGATGGAGCTCTGGTAGTGTAGTTTGTACCATGTTATACCCCTAATCAAAAGACTGTGTGACTTTGCCTGAATCCACTAGTCCTCCAAGGGAATAAAATGGGCAGTTTCATTCTATTAAGATTTATAGCCTTGAAACCCAGTGGAGGGTTGCTATAAGTCAAAACAAATTCTATGGCAGTGAATTAATTTTGTTTGTTTTTGAGCAAGATGATAGTCATTAGAGTTCAGTTATCTAGACTGTCACCACCCTTGTCTTGGCAGTAAACAGCTTGAAAGTTTAGTTGGCACAGAACATCTAATGGTTGTCCTCTAAAGAAATTTTGTATACAAAGGTACATACTATACATAATGAGAACAGAAAAGAATTTTACTAAATTACTGAATTTTGATTGAAGAGCAGATGAGGAGAGTCCAGCCATACAAGGCAGTGTGACTCACAGAATCTTGGAACCTGAGAGCGGAATGTAGGTGTGCTCAAACAAAGCCTGTTCTGAGAGGGATGACCATTTTCCCAGGCCCATGCTGGGAGTTCAAGGAGTGAAGTCAATTCAGCAACTGGTGCTCAGCTTTCCCCAGAGCCTCACACTGTGGCTAGAAGCATCAGAACTTGATATTGTCAGCAGCTGGGGAATTCTGTAGGCTCTGGGGTAAGGAAATTAAAAGAAGGGACAGAGTAATTATTTTGGCTATGTGTGTATAATGATGAAAGCAAGACATCTAGGTGTCTGGGATGCCCACCGGGAGTTTTGTGAGATTACCTGAAGATACCAGTCAGAACCTGGGAGTTGGCTGTGGCAACAGAGAAAATCAGCAGGCATTGTGGCCCAACTGGGTTTGATAAGAAAGAAAACTCTTGAGCCAAAAGACATCAAGTTATAGAAACCAAGCTATTTCTCACTGGTGTTTATCCTCAATTGAGAGGTCACTAGTTCATGTGAACACCTTTTTTTAAGAGTGTAGATATTCCACCAGAACGTTTTCTGGCCTCTATCTCTCAAAATTGTGCTCGTATCTCTCTAAAATTTGGTCTACAGTAGGTGTTATTTCCTCAGTGTTGGATATTCTATTCCATTGTTGTGCTGAATTTGACAAAGCTCACTACAGGGTTATAACAGCTCAGTTTAACTGAGGGCTATACAACCACAAGAAGGGGCGGGGGGAGATTAAACATAGAGAGGGACTTAGATGGGATCATTTGCACAGTCAGCTAGTGTAGAACCATAGGTACCTGAAGGAAGAACATATGCAGCTAGCAGGGCTGTTTGAGGGCCTAGGAGAGTACAAGGATATTCAGTGTATCTTCATGCAGGAAAAGTAATAAGGCCAGGCAAGCTGGCCTGAAAGACAGAAGGTTGCACATACTTTTCTTACTCCAGACAGGAGTCTATAACACTCTCAAGTCAAAGGTTTCCTAAGAAAATAGATTTTTCTGCCCTCCCTGCTTACCTCTATACTTCTTTTTTTATTTCAAATTTATTTTAATGAAAGTTTACAGAGACTTTGGATTTCCATTCATTCATTATTGCACTTTTCTCCCTGCCCACCCCTCCCACTATTTGCTTTTCTTTTTGAAAAGTAAAAGAAAAAATTCTTCTTAAATGAGCACAGACACCAAGTCACCAGAGCTAGGCACATCTGCAGAATAGAGGGCTCTCTAATTCCCTTTGCCTCCCCAAGTATGTTTTCAACTCTTCATTTTCAACTGCTCTCCTTTCTCATTACTCCACTACAAATAAGAAGAAAAGTAGCCCAGACACTTCTGCCTCACCCTCCTGGTATCCTTTCCTCATCCCTCCTCTGAATCACAACCACCCCTCAGAGTATAGTAGATGGCATGGCCCTGTGAGTTACCACGGAAACAAAAAGACAAAACTGCCTTAAAATCAAAGCCATCTTTGCCACAGTAGCGTATGTTGTTAGGGGCTCTCCTGTCAGGTCCAATTCACAGAGACCCTTTGTAGAACAGAACAAAATACTGAGTGATTCTGCTTCCTACTCCTTCTTCATTAAAAATTCCCAGGTAGGTGAGTAGGTAAGGGAGTGAAAGTCATGGAAAAGAGAAAAAGTCTAGTTACCTCAAGACTTGAATCTGAAAATAGGAGGAGCTTCAGACTAAAGGCCGTCAGAAGGGTTTCCAGAAAAGTGTGGTTGCAATCCCAAAGGCATATGGTTCTAATCCACCAACTGCTCTGCAGGAGAAAGAAAGGGAATTTCCTTCAGTGCTACTTACTGCCACTGAAAACCTTCTGGACCGGTGCAACAACAGCACCACTTCCTGGCTCCAGGGTCCAAGCCAGGCTCACCTTGAGAAAAGCTCTGTACTGTAAAGGGACTTCAGTTTTTCCTCCTACACTTTCCAACAGTCGCACTGTGTCTACACTGCTCACTCTTGGAAGTGAAACTAACTTAGTCCTGTTGCCAGTCGCCTATTGCCAGTCTAGGCCTTTTGGAGTTTGCAGCCGCGTTCTGGCTGGAGGAGTGCAGGCAGAGAGGGTCGGGCAGTGGGTGGGCAGGAGGTGACCCTGGGCAGTCTAGGCAGGAAGTCTGGGCTAGGCTAGTCCAGCCCCTTGCTGACCGCCATCCCTATGCGTCCTGTAGGCGTGGAGCCTGCGTTGCGGACAGCTGGCAATGATCACCTAGAGTGCGGGACCACAAGCCATGGAGCGGGAGCAGCAGGCGGCTCTGGAGAACCTCAAGAAAGTGCGGAGGAGGCGCCCGCGGCCTAGGTGGAGGCGGGAGGGCCAGACTCGCGTCGTGAGCTCCAATTTACTACTTTCTCCAGAAGCGGAAGAGTCTGCCAAGGGCCAGCGGCACCTGGCAGACAACAGACTAAAGACCACCAAATATACTCTGCTGTCCTTTCTGCCCAAGAACCTGTTCGAGCAATTCCACCGTCTGGCCAACGTGTACTTCGTCTTTATCTCTCTGTTGAACTTTGTGCCGGCAGTCAACGCCTTCCAGCCAGTCCTGGCACTGCTTCCTGTGCTCTTCATTCTGGCAGTCACAGCTTTCAAGGACCTGTGGGAAGACTACAGCCGCCACCGCTCTGACCATGAGATCAACCACCTGGAGTGCCTTGTCTACAGCAGGTGAGCTCGCATGTGCATGTCTGAACTGTAATAAGAGCACCCCGGTAGCTGGGTGTCCTCATCTAAAAAGCCTCGTCTTACAAGTAACAAGCAGGTAAATGCTTCTTGGGCACCACAATAAAAAAATACACAGCCACTTAATCAATCTTCAATCACGTGTACCCTGCCTCAGTGTCCAGGGTTGTTATTTGTTGTTGTTGTTGTTGTTACGTGCCCTTGAGTGGAGTTCAAGAACAACAAACCTGAACCCTACTCTATCCTGTACCATCTTCATCATCTCTGACACTAGAGGGTACCATTCATCTTTTTCCCACAGAGTGGCTATTGAATTCAGTCTGCTAAACTTTGGTTTAGCAAGTCAACTCATAAGGTACTGTCACCCTAAAGCTCCTGCTGCAGTCCCTGGGGAGGGCCCCTGGACCAGAATGTTTAAAACCTAGGCCTGAGACACAAAGTTAAGCCTGAGATAACACACAGCCAACACTACAGACAGTGGCTTTAAACTTCTACCATGTTCAGATCACAGAGGTCAGCGGATTGACAGCAATAGTGCCAGCCCCTGGGTGAGCACTGAGCAAGTATTAACCTGTACTTTCCTGACTGATTTTCTTAAAATGAACCCCAGTTTTCAAAGGGAAATATTAAAACTTTGAAGAGGCTCTGCCCACAGTCAACAACTGGATGTGTAGTTTGATGGGTACCTGCCGACCCTCTATATCTGCCCTTCCCAGGAGGATTGAGGCCATAGGCAGTGCCTTCCCCAAATGCTTACTGCCATTGCTCCCTTTATGCCCTTACCCCAAGAATGGTACTGGCTGCAAATGGGTATTGGAGTTTTCTAAGACTATATCAAGGCCACGCCACTGGAACATCTCCTTACTGATCACCATCTAGTAGCTTCTGATTCCTATCTAAGCTTCTGGTGGGATTTTGCAGCTGTGAATTACATGTGAGGAGACTACCAACTTCTCTTATAGAGCCCTGTAGATTTGAACAACCAGAGACATGCACCTTTTGGGTCAACAGTGGGAGGCAGTAATTAAACACCACCTATTGACTGTGTGGATCATAACAAACTGTGGCTGACTCTGAGAAGAATGGGAATCCCAGAACATTTAATTGTGCTAATACGAAACCTATACTTGGA